GTCATCTTCATTGTTACTCAAACACAACAACAGATCATTCGATGCTAACAGTGTGAGTGACCTCTACAAATCATCAACATGAAATTAATCTGCTTCCATTAAAAGATAAATTAATTCATAAAGTGAATTCTAAAGCAACATGTTTACTGGTTTGGTTTAACTGAATCTCTGTTTGACTGATCTGGAGTCAGATTAATAGTGAGTTGTTATGAGAGAGCACTTTCTATAAAAGCTTCTTCACCTTTGCCACAAACTGAAAATAAATCAATCTTACACAAACTCCAGATCCAGTTTTCCTGCAGAAAATCTTCTTGATTCACTGACAGTTTGGTTCGTTAGCTGTCAGAAACGTCTGTCACAGCTTCTGTCTTCAGAACAAAATCACATTTGTATTTATTTCAAACAGGACAATGAAAAACAGCATGAAGTCCTAAAGTGAGTGGATTTCAAACTAGAGTTCGTTTGCAAAACCCCAAAGCATGATGGGCTCAGAGGTGGAGGATACATGACGTCGTGACTTAGCTGCAGTGAACCTGAGCGTCCCCCACCTGAAATCATGTCCCCTCACAATGTCCTATTTCTTGTTATTGATTGCCTTCTCCAAATCTGTCCTCTTCACAGGTGTGAGCCAAGTGTCGCAGTTTTGCACGAAAGCCAAAGTCGCTGCGGCGGTGGCAATAATAAAGAGCAAGCCTGCGGGTATGAGCGGCTGCGAGCACGCTGAGGCTTTGGGCTGCCGGCTTAAGAGCCAGGATGAAAGCTGGAGGGAAAAAGCCCAGGAGCTGCAGCAGGAGGTGCTGAGGCTTCGACAGGAGCTGCTGATCACCAAGGTGACGTCAGTAACAACGAACGCCACGGAGACGGCAGGTAAGCCTTCCTGCACGTACACAGCTGGTTACTGGAAACTAGAATATCTGACCCCTCCACTGAGACTTGTCGGGACGTAGATTTAGGGGGAGTTCTGGAAAATGTCCGGAGCAACTGACTCATACATTTGTGTCCTCGCGTACTAAAGCTCCAGAACATTTCAGGAGGATTTCTAGAGTTCAGTTCAGGTCTGAAAGCAGCTGCACAGTGAAACATCTTCGCTCAAGTCTTCAGTGAGACAAGAAGACATCTCAAGGACAAACACAGTCTGACAGGAGTCCTCAGGGGAGAGTGTAGATTCTGTCCTGAACGCTGAATCGCTCAATGCTGCTAATGATCACGCACATAAAGCTCATGAATGTTGATTAGTCAGGTTTATAGCTGAACGTGCTCCTCGCTCCTCCTCTGACAAGGAAGTCAGGAATCATCTGAATTTAAATATGCTGAAATATAAACAACAGGTCTTTTGTTGTGTTATATATTTTGTGATGTTAACGCACATTTGACGCTACTTCCTCAATGAGATGGAATGAGTTCATTTTGTTCTTTAAGAGGAAGGAATAAACAAATGACTGTGATGTCCTGACGATACAGAAGTTAATAAAGTCATGGATTGATTTCAGTTTGCGTGAGTGTGACCTTGAAAACTTGTTCTGTTTGTAAGACAACTTGGTGAACTCTGCAGAAACCCTGTTTACTTTCTCGACTGATTCACTCTCCTTTATTGTTCATGTTTTAGGAGACTCTCAGTCGAGGATGAGTCATTTTGAATCCACGCTTCGTATAATAACAGTCACACTGGTGTAAATATTGTCTTCTTTATGTCGGCATTTGTTCCAAGGAAAACACTCGTCCTTCTGAGTCTATGAGCTCAAGGCTGACGAGAGACGTTTCAGTACAACCTGTGAAAACGATAACCAAGGTCCAACTGCTCTCAGATTTATGTGGTGATGCACCAATAATTTTACTGATGTGATGCGTCAAAGTTAAAATACCACAAAGAAAGTGTTTTTCTTTCGAAAATACATCTTTAACTTCCTGTCGGGATTTCTGAGAAACAGCGGAACTGATGAAGTTGTTCTTTTCCTCCGCATCGATGTGTCACAGCAGCACAAACATTTCACTTTCAGGAGAAATCACTCGTAGACTAAATGTAAAAGTACAAACACTTTCCTTTTTAAATGAAGACGTGCGGTTCTATGTTTGGATGTTTGTGGTGTGAAAAGAAAAACCCTGTGGTTCTTGAGACTGTAACTTCCCAGGTTAAAATCAGCTCCTCTGTGATCACAGGGATGAAACTGAAAATGACTGTAATTATGTTCTTGAATAGTTCTGATACAATTATGAATTTTAATTGGTATGATAATCTAATTGTCTCCTCTGTTAAATATTGACTGTATTCTGAGTCGCACCATGTCTTCATGAACATTGTCTTCTCATAGACTGTGTTTAAAAATGGACATAGACTGGAACCCACTATATTCTGCCTGTGTCAGTAACACTTGTACTCATCCAAGTGTAGTTGTTGGGTATTTGATCTTTTGTGAAATAAAAACCATAAATGAAGATGATGTAGTCGTGTGGATGAAGCCTTGATCGGAGCATCCACAGATTCTAGTATCCTCTGCGCCCAGGACGATCCAGTCTGCCTCCAAACATGAAGACTAACTAGTCACAGCAGTTAACCTGCATTGTTTTAAGTGCAGTGGATGTTGAGCAGGAACTCGGTTGAGTTAAATCCAGAACTGAACGTGTGTTTGTGTAAACTCCTCCAGACGCTGCAGAGGAAGACACTTCACAGGATCTGTTTGGTCCTGCAGAGCCTCAACCTGACTGTGACTCAGCGACTCCTGAGCTCTTTCAGGAAGACCCCCAGCCCGCCGCCTCCGCCCCTGAGCCGCCAACTCCCTCCAGTCACCATGAAAGAGCCATGCACCCCCACGTGCACTTCCTCCAGTCGCTGTGCGCCCTGCACCGAGTAGAAGGAAACCAGAGCGGCCTGGAGGCTCTGTGGTTCAGCCCTGATGGAGGTGCGGGATCAGTGTTGGCGGACTCTGTGTGCCAGCTCCTTCGCTCGGTGGTGGCGGCGTGCAGGGATCCCCCTCCGCTGGGTCCGCGCGACCTGGTCCTGCAGGCCTGCCAGGTGGCGGCCCGGGCGATGGACCTCTTCTGCTCTCAGCGGCTGCCGTCAGCGGAGTTCATGAGACACGTGGAAGATTCGCTGAGGGAGATGACTGCGATGCTGCTGCACCGTCGTCAGCCCTGCAGGGTGAGTCACAGGACGTTTGCATGTGCATAATATTTCCTGATGAACGAGACGACGGAGGCCGCACACAATCAGCTGGGTAGTTAACCACAGTCAAATAAATGTGTCAATACTTCGTCACACATCAGTGTAGATTCTGAAGTTAGTTGTAATAACCTGGGCTCATGAGATGATTTTACGTTTTATTGTCTGTTTGTTTATGTGACGTAGTTTTTCTCAGTACATTTACTTCTCTGGCCTCTGCCCAGGAGTCAGACAGATGTAGAGGACGGGTCTGAATGTGTGTGATGTGATAGAATTAAAGGGACGGTGTGGACTTGGCGGAGGAATGAGCTCAGCTGAGTGACGCTCTAGTTTATACAGAAACAGCAGCTTGTCTTGATTTTGGCCACTTTCAGCTTCTATAGTGGATCATCTTAATCCTTCCTAACCCTCAGAGTGACACTGGGAATATTGTTATAACGATAAAGTATAGTATCCTCGATTATTGGCTTTAACCTTCACTGAAGCTCCAGTCGATCATCAAAGTCCCTCGCCGCCCCACATGTTGTTGTCATGACAGGCTCTGGCAGCTGGGACTGTGAGATGAAAGTGAGTCTGAGCTGAAGAGGATGAACTTCTCCCATCTGGCTCTCGCTCCACACACAGAAGGGCTCACCCAGCTGAGATGGCTGCTGGAACAACGTTCCCTTCCTGTTTCTCTTCCTGGTGATCGCAGTGAGGAGGGTGGAATGTGATTTAAATTGAATGACGTCTTCCATTTACACTACATTTGTCTCTGAGAAACTTTAATGCCCACAGAGGCAAATTGTCTCAGAGCCGGAGGACAGGTTCCTCAAGAGCCAGACAAGCAATCCATGTGGAGTGAATAAAAAACACAGGGACACATTAGTGGACAGAACCTCATGATGATGATGGAGTCTGTTTTATATTATTTACAGGAAGTAATATCCATAGATTCTGAAGTGATGAATTATTCTTGTGTATTTTTTAAAACAAGATAACCTCTATGCTAAAAATCAATATGGAAATAAAGAGACAATTCATTCTCCTCACATCAAACAGGTTATTAACAATATATATATGTTAAGTCTTTCTTGGCATTCAGCCTTTTGATTGACAGGACAGAGTTTCTAGAGTGAAAAGGGGGAGACACAGAAATGTGACTTCAGTCTGCATCAGTGTGGATCTAGTTGTTTTTAACTTCAGCTGAAGGCGGCAGGTAGATATTTACGCTGCGTGTTAACGCTGAAGGAGACCGAGCAGCTTCGTCCTCCCAGTTAGTCCTGAGACACTAAGTGACATAATGAATGAACTGTGTGCAGGTGCTGAACAAGAGCAAACGCACTGAGAGAGAATCCACTTTAAAGACGGAGATGTCAGCACCTACACGCCTTTTTTTTTTCCCATTGCATTCATGGATGACAGCTTTGGAACAAATCAGGACTCCCATGAGATTTTCCACTGAATTTATGCCGACGCTCTTAAAGAGGATTTGTGTTTGCGGGGAGATTACACCGCCTAAAAGTAAAAATCCCCTCTTTGATTCTATTACTGTTTGCTATCATCG